TGAATCTCAACAAAAGCCAGGACTCTCCTGGGTTTCATCCCCCACAACAGGGATTCTAAAAAATATATATACACATTTGGGAATGTTTGCAGCCCCCCAAAGCAGGGGGTGCAGAGCTTGTGTTGGAATTCCCCAGATTTGTTCAGTTTGGCTCAACCTTCCCAATGGGAGTGACCAAAACCGCGCAGGATAAATTTTGGGAGGGTTTGTTCCAGGTTGCATCACGACTCCAGCGAGTTTTGACTGGCTGATTCACTAACTGGGCCCTCACATGGCTCTTGGCAGGGCTTGCAGGGCCTTGTCTTCCTCTAATCACCCCCAAAAATCAGCATTTCCCAGGAGCTTTTCTCCTGCTCCCACTGCCCAGAAGATGCAGTATCTTGGAGTATCTGGTGGTATCTTGGAGTTGGGGGCGAGGGGGTTTTTGGTTTGGTTTTTTTTGGGAGGGGGGGGAGATTCTGCCTCACCTGGGGAATGTTTCACCTCCATGTCCCCCCAGGAAAGAGGGCCTCCACCTGGAGCTTTGCGTTCTGATTCCTCCCCGAATGGTTCAGACATGGATCGCAGGTAAACAGCCCCAAAAGGGGTCCCCCACCCTCTCCCCCATCCCCAGGGAGGACATTTTTGGGATAACCCACCACTGCTCCTGGCTGGGCATCACCTTCTCCAGCCAGTTGGCACCACCCTTGAGCACTTCCCAAACATCCAGGTTTATTTCCACACCATCCCTCTGGATTTGGGGCGGTTTCGTTGCCAAACAGGATGTTGGGAGAGGGTTTGGAGCCATAAAAACACTGCTGAGCAACAATCACAGGGATTTTTAGGATAGGGGTGTCTCCAAATCCTGAAATTTGGGGTTATTCTCTGCAGACAAAAGGCAAAACATGAGTTTTAATTAATTTATTGGCAGCGGCACCATGTGGAGTGTTTTCCTGAGGGTCCCAGTGTGGTTTTGGGATGGATTTTGCCTCCAAAATTTCAAGGGATCCAACATTTTGGCTCCAAAATTTCTGTGAATCCACTATTTTTTCTCCAAAATTTCTGTGCATCCAATAATTTCACACACGGTATCCACACATGCAATAATTTGACTCCAAAATTTCCATGCATTCAATACTTTGAATCCAAAATTTCTGTGAATCCAACATTTTGACTCTAAAGTATCTGTGTATCCAATATTTTGCCTCCAAAGTTTCAATATTATGACTCCAAATTTCCGTGCATCCAGCATTTTGACTTCCACAATATCTGTGCATCCAACATTTTGACCCCAACCCAACGTTTTGACTGCAAAATTTCCATGTATCCAATACTTTGACTCCAGAATTTCCATGCATCCAACATTTTGACTCCAAAATTCCTGTTCATCCAACATTTTGACTCCACAGTATCCATGCATCCAGTACTTTGACTCCCAAATATCTGAGCATCCAACACTTTGACTTTGGAATTTCTGTGCATCCAACATTTTGACTCCAAAATTTCCACGGATCCAATACTTTGACTCCAGAATTTCTGTGCATCAACATTTTGACTCCAAAATTTCCATGTATCCAATACTCTGACTCCAAAATTTCCATGCATCCAACATTTTGACTCCAAAATTCCTGTTCATCCAACATTTTGACTCCACAGTATCCATGCATCCAGTACTTTGACTCCAAAATATCTGAGCATCCAACACTTTGACTTTGGAATTTCTGTGCATCCAATATTTTGACTCCAAAATTTCCATGGATCCAATACTTTGACTCCAAAATCTCCATGCATCCAGCCTTCTGACGGGTTTGGCTGTTGACTCCCCTCTCTCCTCCTCATATTCCCCTTCCCCTCAAGATTTCCTGCCCGTCACCCGGAGTGTTTCCTGAGGGTCTCGGGGTGATTTTGGGATGGGGGATCCCACAGCCCGCTGCTGATTCCCATCTCTCCTCCTCATTCCCAGTATAACCCTCCACCTGAAGATTTCCTGCCCATCCTCTCCTGCCTTTAACTACTCCCGGAGCCCGATCTGTGCCGTGCCCCAGGTGAAGATCGAGATGGAGTCGGATTACGAGGACACGGACACGGAGAAGGCCCCGCGGGACATGGGCAGTGAGACCACGTTATAGCCCCCCAGCCCCCAGTTTATATATATATATATATAGAGACACCTGCACATTCATATATATATATATAAAGGAAATCGGGCTTATTTTTCTATGGGAGACTGGAGGCCCCAGGGGTTTTGCTCCAGGGGTTTTTAGTGCCGTGAGGTGTTGGGTTTCCAGCCCTTCCCGCTGGGAAACGGGGCTGGAAAGGTGGAATTGGTGATTTTGGCCCCGCAGCTGCTGCGGGGCTGGAGCAGCTGGAGGGGATTGGGATGTGGGAGCAGCTGATGTGCTGGAGGAAAAGGGGGTGATGCTTTTTGGGGGGATTTTGGGGTAGGGAGGAGGGTTGAGTGGCTGAGGGAGATTTGGCCCTGCTCCCAAATCCCTGGATCCGTGATGTGGCTCTTGGGGAGGCTTGTTTTGGGAAGGGGGTGTGTCGGCAGCAGGGTGCTGGTCCAAGGGGTGGGGTCCTTTCCATGGGATCCCAGGTGTGGTGGGAGCGTCCAGAGGGACCTGGATCTGCTGGGATTGGGCTGAGGAGGAAGAGGAGGCACAGCAGGATGGAGAGGAGCCTGGAGCTCCAGGGAAGGAAGGGAAGGAGGAGAAGCAGCTCGGGATGAAGGTTGTTGCCACTTGAGGGCAACAACAACCAGGCTGTGGAGCAAGAGCAGGGCAGGGAATGGGGCCTTGGTTTCTGCAGGAAATTGGGAATGGTTTCTGTAGGAAACAGGAATGGGTTCTACAGGGAAACAGGAATGGGTTCGGTAGGAAACAGGAATGGGTTCTGCAGGAAAACTGGGAATGGTTTCTGCAAGGAATTGGGAACAGTTTCTGTAGGAAAGAGGAAAGGTTTCTGTAGGAAACAGGAATGGTTTCTGCAGGGAAATTGGGAATGGTTTCTGCAAGGAATTTGGAACAGTTTCTGTAGGAAAGAGGAAAGGTTTCTGCAGGAATCAGGAATAGGTTCTGTAGGGTGTTGGGAATGGTTTCTGCAGGGAAATGGGAACAGTGGCTGCAGTGAAGCCCTTTGGTGGCCCATCCCCATGTCCTCACCATGGCTCTCCAGGGCCACCCCTGGCCTGGGAACAGCCCTGTCCCTTCCTCTTGGGAGTGAGACATTCCCAAGCCGTGCTCTCACTAGAGGAATTCTCTCACTGGAGGAATTCAAGGATTCTCTGCTGCCCAGCCCTGTCCAAGGGGCTTCACTCCCACTTCAGCTCCTCCATCCTGGTCATTCCCAGCAGTTTAACAGCCGGTGGCTGGAACAGGGAGGGGAGAACAAGCACCTGGAACAGGGAGGGCAGAGCCAGGACACAGAGCCAGGACCCCCCCCCGTGCTCCAGGCTCACACCCAGCACCTCCCTGCTGGGTGTCCGTCGGCATTTCAGCTCCGTAACGGGCTCTTCCCACCCACTGCTGCCTCTGGATCCTCTGGGAGAGGAAGGAAAGGGAGAAGGTTTGGAGCCAGGGAGGCTCCGAGCTCCCTTTGCCTCTGCCCAGCTCCCACACCTTTATTCCAGCAGCACCAGGGCAGTGCTGAGGCTTTCAAGGATTTTTTCCCCTCCACAGACCAAGCCCAGACACTGCTCTGAAACAACCCTCAAATCTGTTTCTTTTACTCATTTTTTTTCTAGTCTAATTCTGTATTTTTTTTCTCCATTTCCAACCTCCCAGAGCCCCAAACCCCTTCCCCAGGAGCAGGATCACCCTGCCTGATATTTACACCAGCACTACTGGGGTTTCTGGGCCACCAGTTAAATATTGCAACTGGTCTGAACCTTTGTGTGGGACAGATCCCTGTAAATAGTCAAAGCCAACAGAGACTTGAAGGCAATTTCCTATTTATAGCAATTTTTTTTCTGGTTCAGGTGCATTTCCTGGGGACAGGGGGTGAGAGAAATAACACATTGTTACCCTATCACCACTTCAGTGTTAACGAACAGTCAGAACCATTTCAACTTGGAGGCACTGTGTCTATTTTGTAGCGTTTTGTACCAATCCTGTGTGGTAGAAGCATCGTAGGCTTATGATTTTAATCAACCGGGTTAATTCGCTTTATCCAGCCCCTCAGCTCTATTTCCACCACCCCTGGACAGGCTTTGTGGACTCTGGTAGCTGTTCCATAGGGCAGAGCTGAAGCCACTGTAGAATCCAGCTTGGTTTTGGCTCAATTTGTCTATTTTGCACCGTGGATTCTACTTTTTGTACGAGCAAACGGAGCGTCCGAGATTCGCCGCCTCCAGCCTGGGACCACTGTCACATTTTGTATTTCTTGGATAAAACCCAATAAACCTCGTTTCAATGAGTCTCAGCTCTCAGTGTGTTTCTGCTGCAGAGCCCCTGAATCCCAAATTTCCTTCCCCCTGTGTTTTTATCAGTGTTCCCCCCTCCAGGAGAGGGGGGTTTGGCACCAGCTCAGCTGGTACCTTCAGCCTGTTAAAGGTTGGAAAAGCTTCCAAGATCTACTCCAACTGATGGCACCACAATATTCCTGCTCTCAGGAAGGTGGGACCAGTCACACCAGGGAATATGTGAAGAGGAAAGAGTCCAAGATTCACCTCACTGCCCATGGATAATCCTGCAAGGAAGTTTTTCCACCCTGCTTGAGGCATCACCTCAGGTAAGGCTGATGTTCATGGGATAATTAGAGCTTAAAAACATCCCTCATGCTGTGATGTGGATTTAGCTGAGAAATAAGACTCAGGGAGCTGAACAGGTTTTGATCAGGCTTGAAAGGAAGAGATTTGCTTACTTTCAAGGCCAGTTGGTGCTGGTGGAGCAGTTGTCCCAGGTAAGCTCTGGGTGGCAGCCAGACCTCCCCCTGCTCTGGGGTAACAGCTCTAAAAACAATTAGTGCAGCTTTTCTAGAAGTGAAGTAGTTGACTAGTAATAATTCCAGGGCACAAACAGGGATTTTTTTTTTTTGTCTTCTCACACTTTATTTTGTTAGCCTGCATTACTCACTAGTTACACACTTCATAACACAGCCCAGGGAACCTCCTGTGTGCCCTTTGTGGACACCAAACTCTCCTCACACTTTTCTTTGGTTAGAAAAAAAAAGGCTTTTTAAAAAATTCACCAACCAAACAGCAAAAAAACCCCAGCTTAGCTGCACACTAGAACATGTTACAACAGCTCTGCCACTGCCCAGGGCCCTCCACAGCCTCAGAGCACAAATATGGCTTTATTTTTAATTTTTCAAGTAATTTCTTCTACAGAAGAGCTCAAACTAAACATCCAGCATTGAGCAGGAGAGCAGCACAAGCCACACTCCAGATCTGTGAGAACAGAACCATCAAGGCTTTGTACCATGGAGCAAATATCCCAAGGGAGTGCTGATGGAGCTCCCGGGAAAGCTGCATTCCCAGGATCCCAAATTCCTGCAGGAGCAGGTCTGGCTCACACACAGAGCAGCTTAACAAGCAGGAGGAGCACAGGCATGAAGATTTACACACCTCAGTACCACCAGATGCAGCTGCTTCAGCTCCAATAAATACCTGCGACCTCCGAGTGGGAAATTTTTCCCATTCTGAGACAATAAATAAAAAAATATTGCATTTTCTATCGGCCTGTTTGGGAGTCAGTTTGGAATGTTGCTTTCAGTGCTACGAAGGAGAAGGATGGCCCAGGTCAAGCAGTCAGTGCTTCCAACTCTTTGGGTTTCAGCAGCTTCTTGGCAGCAATGATGGTGTTTTTCATCAGCATGGCCACGGTCATGGGCCCCACCCCGCCCGGCACCGGGGTGATGTAACTGGCCTTCTTCCTCACCCCTGGGGAGGAAAGGCACAGCTCAGCAGCAAAATCAACAGCAGCAACAATTCCCAGGCTAAAAGCCCCCAGATCTCCTCCAGGGTCATCATTTAGGAACAGGAGTTTCTCCACGTTTTTCCCCGTTATCCAGCCCCGCTCTTTCCGTCCCTGCTGCTCTAAACCAGCCCAGCTGCAAAGCCCAGGCTGGGGAAAAGCTCAAAGGGAGGACTAAAGGATCTAAAGTAAGGTCTAAAAGCTGGTTTCTAGCACAGAAATGTCAAATCCAAGACTAGGTGTGGCCTTGATGCTGGTACTTCATCGATCTGGACATTCACCCTCTTTTTCTTCCAGGGGGAAATTCCCAGGTCTTCCCCCAGGCTCATCCCAAGAGCCCCTGTGGGGGTGCAGCTCCAGGAGGATCAAGGCCAGGGAATACAGGGCAGGAGGTAAGTTCTGCATGGCTTTCTTTTAAAAGAGGTTTTGGAATAGAGGCAAAGTGACCCAACAGGGTGAGTCTCCTCTGCAGCTTTCCCATGGCATGTCCTGGGATAACACGGAACAATATTGGATGAACCAGACACACGAACCAGGACTTTCCTTCCCTTTGCAGCACCCAAGTGCTCCAGAACCCACACCCAGAGCCTTTCCATACCTTCAAAATCCACGTCCCCAACCAGCCTGGACTTGGCAGTGACAGGATCCTGCACTCTGGTTATTCCCACATCAATCACTGCAGCTCCTTCTTTGATCATGTCAGCTGTGATCAGGTTGGGAATGCCTGGAAAAGCACAGAACTACACACTCAGGGGTGTTAAACAGCCCCCCTGCTCCTCCTCACCCACATTCCCAGGATGTTCTGGCCCATCTGCCCTTCCTGCCCCCCAGACCAGCTGGACTCCATAATCTTCAGGGTCTTTTCCAACCTAAATGATCCCATGAAATGCAAATCGACAGGAGCACATTTCAGCTACTCATATGCAGCTCAATCAGATATTTCACTTTCAAACTGAAAGAAGGGAAATTTTAGGTTGGATGTTGGTAAAAAATTCCTCCCTTTGAGGGTGGAGAGGGGCTGGGCTGGAATTGCCAGAGAAGCTGTGGCTGCCCCATCCCTGGAAGTGTCCAAGGCCAGGTTGGAGCAACCTGGGCTCGTGGAAGGTGTCTGGGGGTTGGAACAACATGATCCTTAAGGTCCCTCAACCATTCCATGATTCCATGTTTCTGTTTGAGATGTTCCCTGAGAACTCAGAGCAAAGAGCTGGAATCCATGCCCAGGAAGCTCTGGGACCTCACACCTTCTCCACATGGAATCCTCAAAGCATTTGGGGTCTGGGGCTGTTTGGTGCAGCTCCAGCAGGTTTTCCAGCTGCACTGGGACAGGAACCTGGAGCAGTGCCTGATCCCACCCCATCCCAGCCTGGCAGAGGCTCCAGATTTATCCCAGGGCTGTCCCAGAGGGACAGGGAGGGGTGGGAGCAGCAGCTTGGGGCTCAACCTCCCTTTTAGGGTGGGGCGTGTTTGTCTGGTTCAGCCAGATACTGAGGGGAAGAACTGAGAGACACTTAAATATTAACAATTAATGACTCAAACAATCACTTCCAGGGGCAGCAGGTGCTTTGCTGACCCATCACTATTATTAGCTAAAGGAGAAATTTCTTGCCACTGTTGGAATCAATATTCTTCCCCAGTCCCTCATTTTTTCTAACAATTTTCAAGTTTGTCACAAACATCCTTTAGTTCTCCTGTTTAAATTTCACATCACCTCTTTTCTTTGGAGAGGACAGTTCTGCTGAGGATGAACCTTTTAAATTTCTAAAATGAAATTAATAAAAATTTCAGGCATTTTATAGAAAAATAACTGTGAGGATGTGTTAAAACTGACATTGGAAATTAAAGTGCTGTCCAAGGTGTGCAGAGGGGGGTGAACACCAGAGGGTGACCACAACAAATCAACTTTTGATTACCCATGAGCTGGTTTTTGAGCCAGATAATGGAAGAGGCTGAGAAGAAGCAGGTCCTGAGGTGGGATGATGATTTTTATCATCCCAATGTCCTCCCTCACACACCTGGCCCAGGTGGAAAACCCCCCTGGGGGAGTATCAGGACATTCCCACACAGGGCTGAAGGTTTTCATCCTTCAGATGGGGCAGAACTGGCTCAGCCACACTGTGAGAGGAGCTGTCATGTCTTAGAAGGGCCATAAACCACCAAAGACCCCTAAAGTGCCCCCAGATTCATTTTTGGGACTTCCACCAGAGTTTGGCACATGACCCATCAGCCAGGGGAGGTACCTGGGCCTTCCCACCTGAACCTGAACGTGGATTATCTCATTAATCATTGTGGTTTTGGTGCCTACAGTGTCCTAAGGCATCATTCTGGGGGCTTCCCCCACCCCTGATGGATCAAGACTGACCAACAGACATCAAAATTCCAACACTGGAATCCACAGCTGGTGAGATCTTCCTGCTCTGATCTTTTCTTTCTTTTCCCCTTATACATTTTCTGAAGTGTTATATTCGTGCTTTTATATTGTTCCATGCCCACAGATAAAACAGCTCCATCCCTCCTTTCCATTGCAACCAAATTGATCTAAAATAATTTAAATATGTAAACACTGATCAATGAGTGTCCTTTCACTCCAACCCACTCCAAGGGATCTATTAACAGTGACCTGTTCCCTTCACTCTTAGGGCTGGGTTTTAACAGGAATTCCCTCCCATTCTTGTTTTCTCTCATCCATGTGACCCCCTCTCTGCTCCACTCACACCTTCCCAGGTGACTCCATCCCCTTCTGTCCTTACACACCCCCAAACCTCCCACACTTTCTCTTCACACCCAATTCTCACCCCACACTTTCTCTCCTCCCTCCCCACAGGTCCCACCCACCTTCTGCTGCCAAAAAGACCCTCCAAAGCAGCTCAGCTCCTCTGCCCAGGGGACAGTCTGGAGCAGGGCACAGACTGAGTGGATCCTCATGCTCTGGGGGTGCCTCTGCAGCTGCTCCAGGTAAGCAGATCCTACCCTGGTAATTATTTTCTTGGTATTTTTTGTCATCCCACATAAATACAACAGAAGGTACAACAGAGCCTGTTGTTATACAGCTGGATAAGAGTCTTATGGGATGGGTGAACAACTGGCTCATGGGTTGGGGACAAAGTCACAGTGACTGGGGTGGTGTCAGGCTGGCACTGGGGATGTTCCACAGGGCTCCATCCTGCAGTTCTCTTCAACACCTTCATCAGCTCAAAGGAAAACTGAGGAACTTGGCTGAGGACACCAAACTGGGAGGAGCTGTTGACTCCCTCGAGGGCAGAGAGGGCTCAGCAGACCAGAGATGGACAATCCCCAACCGTGGGAAGTGGAGCAAGGGCAAGGGCTGGATTGTGCCCCTGGGCTGGGGCAGCCCTGGCTGTGTGTGTGGGCTGGGGATGAGAGGCTGGAGAGCAGCTGCAGGAAGGGCCCTGGGGGTCCTGGTCCATGGCCAGTTGTTCCTGAGCCAGCAGTGCCCTGGCAGCCAGGAGGGCCAACGTGTCCTGGGGGCATCAGGGAGGGGATTGTCCTGCTCTGCTCTGCCCTGGGGCGGCCTCACCTCAACATTGGGGCAGTTTGGGGGGACACAATATAACAAAACCATTGGAGAGTGTCCAAAGGAGGGAAGGAGGATGGGGAAGGGCCTTGATTGGAAACTGTGTGAGGACACTGAGGGCACTTGGTGTGTTCAGCTGGAGCAGAGGAGACTGAAGTCAGACCTCATTGGGGTCTTCAAAATCCTCCTGAGGGGCAGCTTTGATCTCTGCTCTCTGTGAGCAGGGACAGGACCCTGGAACAGTTGGAGCTGTGTCAGGGCAGGGTCAGGTTGGATCTCAGGGAAAGGTTCTTCCCCCAGAGGGTGGTTGGGCACTGCCCAGGCTCCCCAGGGCAGTGGGCACAGCCCCAAGGCTGCCAGAGCTCCAGGGTTGTTCAGACAATGCTCTGAGGGACAGGGTGGGACTGCTGGGGTTTCTGTGCAGGCCCGGGAGCTGCACTTGATGGGTCCCTTCCAACTCATTATAGTCTCTGATTCCATGCTGCTCTTTAGGATCTGATCAGGTGTCATGGGCAGGCCAAGCCCCTCCTGCCAGGTGTTATTTTCCATTTCAAAGGCAAAGCCACAAACAGCTCTGCTAGGAACAAAGATGCTGCTCCTTGGCTTCTGCACAGGATGAACTGGCTCCAGCAGCCCCTCACCTGCAGCCCTGGGAGCACCAGACTCTCCCACACTGCCAGAGAGGCTCCAGAACATTCCATGCCAAGGATTCCCACCAGGAACACCTGGAGCACCCTCTGTGCCCCTCAGCTGTGCCATCAGCCAGGCCCTACCTGCTGCTGCCACCACGATGTCTGCACGGATCATGTGCTGCTTCAGCTGCTCCTTGGGGGTGTAGCGGTGGGAGATCGTGACTGTGGCATCACCTGGGAGAGTGATTCCATGGAGCTTTAATTCCCAAACCCAGCCAGTTCTCTGCATCTTCCCCTTCAAGACCACCCCTGTGTTGAGCAGCAACATCAGGGCCTGCTGACAAACCCCAGGGAACAGCCTGTGGAGTCAGAGGGAAGGGCTTGGGGACAGAAGGGGACAAGGACTTGATGAAGGAGGATCCAAAATGTTACAGGGAGGCTCAGGGAAGACCTTATTGGTCTCTACAACTCCCTGACAGGAGGCTGGAGCCAGCTGGGGGTTGGGCTCTGCTCCCAGGGAACAAGGGACAGGACAAGAGGAAACAGGAAGGGGAAGTTTAGGTTGGGTATTGGGGAAATTCCTTCAAGAAAAGGGTTGTTAAACATTGGAACAGGCTGCCCAGGGAAATGGTGGAGTCACCATCCCTGAAGTGTTCAAAAAACATGTGGATGTGGCACTTGAGGACACGGTCTAGTGGTGAACATGGTGCTGGTTGATGGTTGGGCTTGATGACCCCTAAGGCCTTTTCCAACCTTAACAATTTTAAGACCATGTGCAGAATCAACTCCCCAGCCTTGGCCAGATTCCTGAGGGACCCCTGAGATGGCTCTAGGAGCCTGAAGAGGGCAGTGGGACAGGTTTCCTACCTCCAGGCCGCTCGTGTTTGCCATCAGTGTGGAGCAGCATCGCGATGGGCATCCCCACGTTCTTCGACCTCCCGGCCACCACCACGTTCTTGCCCAGCGTTGGGATCCCTGCAGAGGGCAAGATCAGAGAATCATGGAGTACCCTGAGTTGGAAGGGACCCATCACGATCACCAAGGGCAGCTCCTGGCCCTGCAGACACCCCAACAATCCCACCCTGTCCCTGAGAGCGTTGTCTGAACAACCCTGGAGCTCTGGTAGCCTTGGGGCTGTGCCCACTGCCCTGGGGAGCCTGGGCAGTGCCAACCACCCTCTGGGGCAGAACCTTTGGCTGAGATCCAACCTGACCCTGCCCTGACACAGCTCCAACCATTCCCTGGGTGCTGTCCCTGGTCCCCCCAGAGCAAAGCTCAGTCCCTGCCCCTCCTCTGCCCCTGCCCAGGCAGTTGGAACTGCAGTGAGGTCTCCCCTCAGTCTCCTCTTCTCCAGCTGAACACACCAAGTGCCCTCAGTGTCCTCACACGGCTTCAAACCAAGGCCCTTCCCCATCCTCGTGGCCTCCTTTGGACACTCTCCAATGGTTTTGTTATATTGTGTCCCCCCC